ACACCAACTTTTGGAATCACTACCAAAATTCTTTCATTCACTCCTCGTACCTTGGATTACAAATTGCTCGGTGGATGATGGCAGTTAGTATGTTCCTACTATCATGTGTGCAACCATTCTATATTATCGTATTCACACCACCATGATACACTTTCATACCACATGTGGTGAGGACGAGATGGATGACCCTATTCATCGCCTGTGAAATTTGGGGGGAAGAAAAAAAAACAATCTTGGGAGGAGATGAAGCAATGACAAAAAACAAATAATAAAAAGGAAAGAGTAGAAGTGAGTTTACAAAAAAGAGGCACTGGCATAATTGAAAATTTTGAGTTAAATAACAAGTAATTTAAAACTTTCACATGAACACAATAATTCATACATTTTTTCGTAGCACAAAGTTCAAATAAGTCAATTAAATCATTTGATACCTAATGACTCAAGCAAACATCATTTCAATTACAAATTTGTATGAATTTGTGGGAAAAAAGTATTAGTTTCTCAATAACCTCACTTTGCATCCATTAGATAACCAAAGACTTTTGTTTGGTCTTTTGGTTATCTACCTACCCAACCAAAACAATCCCATTAGCAGGTGTGTCTATCTGGGTAAATAATCTTATTCCATCCCATACCAAATATCAAATCTTGCGAAGAAGTGGATGGAGGGAGGGAGCATATCAATTAGAGTTGTAAATGAGTCGAGCTATTCGGCGTTTAACTCAAGAAAAACTCGTTCGAAACTCGACTCGTTAATAAACGAGCCGAACATGACCTAATCTTTGTTCAACTCTCGAAGCTCGTGAGCTAGCTCGACTCGGTGGCTTGTTGAGCTAAACTCGTGAGCTGACTCGTTTAGAGCTCATGATATGTCTCAACATGTGGCTAGAGAACCAACTCGATTACCGACTTATGGACGAATCAATCTATATCTTATGATTTTAATTCATATAGTTGTTTAATTATATATCTCACCATATATGAAGTTTAACACGTTGAGTATGTGAGCAAATATATCTTATTTTCTACTTTAAAAAGAAATTATGTATCATAGATTGTCTCGATACTAAGAAATAACACAATTTGGAATAGTTAAAATTTATTGAGTAAATGATATATGATACCAACAAAGTATAATATGAGATTAGCTAACCAAATCGATAATATGTATCATGATATACAAAATAAAGTACCAAATAAAAGTCAAGATTTTAGTAAACAAGCTAGCTCGAGCAAGATTTTAGCAAACAACCGAGCTCGAGCTGAGCTCGGGCTCGACTCATTTATTAAAGAATCGAGCTCAAACTGAGATAAAACTCAACTCGACTCCACTCATTTGCAGCCCTATATCCGATCCACAGAGAATAAATCCCCCTTGGAGACCCATCTATTGTCCCACACCATATAATTCTATCTACCATTTCTGCTCTAATTTTGACATAATGTTTGCAGGTCTCTTTGGTAGTTAGGTATAAGGTCCCTTTCCCACACCAATTTTTCTCTTTCGTCCAATGAATTGATGGTTTGTGTCATAAGGTTTTGAATATTAATTGTTGCCAACAACTACCAAATTCCTTGATATGGTCAGTAGGTGCTGAATTGGTAGATAGTGAATTAGAAACCTTCATTTTTTAGAAGAATTGAATTGGAACCCTTGATTTCCCTCATCATTTCCCTACAAGTGGCAAACCAGGCTGCTAGAATTATGGCTGCTCAGTCTTGGGCTGTGTTGGTAGTCAAAGTTGGTTGTTAGACACAGGCAAGCTAGAGAGAAAGGGTAGTTACCCTATTGGTGAACTCTCAGTATATTACCTCAACTTGCAATACGATGCCTAAAGAAGAGAGTCCCAACTAATTGTAAATTCCTACACAAAAATTGGCTTCAATAGGTCGTGAAAAATATACTCCCACTCCCTCCCTATGTGACCTATATTTAACCTATTGTATAAGGCTTGATAGTGCTACTACACGCAACACAAGGATAAATATATGTATTTCTTGTTTGCCTTTCATTTCGAGTTTGTGCAATATTGTACTGAGGTTAGAAGAGTAATTTTTCCCTTCTTTTTTCCATCTAACCCAAGTAAAAGTTTGAATTTGTTACCCTATATATTATATACTAACTAGATAGGCGGTGGTCGAGCTCCGCAACAGTCTGCGGTTGGTTTTATGGTTTCTATTAGTTAGCTCATTATTTATATCGTTCTATTTTAATTGATAGAACTAAAAATCATCATAAAAAACAAAAAGTAATTAGTTATTAGGTGTTGAACTATTATTCACTAACCCTAACACCATTATAATTTGAATTGAGGGAACCGTAATACAAAATCATAAGGGAATATCAATCTTTATTGATCATAATATAATAATTAACTACTTTTCTATATCAACATTGACCCATAAGTTTTAGAAAGTAATCACCATTGTTGTATGAAAAGTTAGTAGATCTATAATATGACACTTCAAAATCAAACTAACAAAAAATTCCATATATGCATTATTTTCCTTAAGAGGTGTTGACTGTTGACGGATTGTTTAAAATATAGTTTGGAATTGTTTAAAATATAGTTTGGACAAATGAAGGAAATTGCATAAGAATTAAAGTCTAATACATAAAATCAGTTTTGAATGATATGGTCAATCGAATCAGTTCAGGTTATGAAGTCTAATCCTCACGAAGGTTTTTTAAACATTATGTGATTCATTTACCTCTAATTAGTCATTAGATTAATCTATAGAGTTAGAGTGAAAAATAAAAAGGGATAAATACGATATGAATGATATATTTCCGTCTAGTTAGAAACGGACATGAAAAATCTAGTAAGAGAATTATGTGATCCTCTCCCCTCGACATGAATAATTTCGAACGTTGAAAAATTCCCGAAAACCACCCTTCTCTACATTTCCCACAACCCCACCGATCTTTAAAAGTGTGGCGATTGTGAAGTAAACTAATCTAGAGCATAGTCATTTGGTTTCAAAACGAGTACTTAAATGTTAACAAACACATTGTTTGGTCATTATCCAGTTTCCTATTAAATATTTATATACGTTTTATAATCTAAATACTTCATGCATATTGCATATTTATATATAAAGTAAACAAACATATTGTTTGCACGTTATCTTGTTTCCTTTTGAAAATAACCAAAATCTCATAGATAGTTCTAGTCCTACTACCCTTTTATTGGGCTCGATTCGTTGTTGTTTATTTTGGCTACATATGCTTAAATTGCCACCAACAACAAACAAATTGCCTAATTTTTATAAAAGGAAGCAGCCTCCGCACGCATCCATACAAAATGCTTTGAAAAAAAGAAGCATAGAACAAAATTGAGAATATACACTCCATATACCCAGTGCAGTCAAAATCGCGCATTAAAATGTAAAAACTTACGTTTTTACGTATCCAGGCCACCAAAACGTTTCAGTTTCTACCTAAAGTCGCTTAGTCACAAAAATTGGTAAAAACATGGGTAAAATCGCTTAAAATTGGTAAAATCGCGATTCTGAAGCGTTTTTAATTTTTATACGATTTTGATCATCTCATAAAAATGTGCTAATTGGCCCAAAATGATGTAATTTTGGAGACATATGAGCAAAAAATTAAAAAAAAAGGAAAACATGATTCATCAATCGTTCTACAACTAGTGTCGAGATAGGGGCTTAACATTAGGTTGAAAAGACACCTAATGGTATTCTCAACAGTCGCTGACCTTCTATCAGTCTTCTTCCTTAATCTTCACCTGTGGCTCTTACCTAGGTTATGATAAAAGTTTATGGGTAATTGATCATATGTAATTATGTAAACTCAAACAAGCTTGTGAAAATTTGGATTCTCAAGCTCGTTTACGGGTTACGATCTACATTTATGAGCTTATTATTAAGATGTTATGAGTTTTCTCTACTTTTGAGTCAACACAAATTAGTTTATGTGAGATATTACATTTTAATTATGAATTTCATGTAGTTATTCACTTATCTAAAATCTACACACTCACATTTTAGATACTATATGTTGTACTTAACATATTTTAGCTATTTTAGAGGGTGCGTAAAAACTTACGCTTTGATTATACGTTTTACGATTTTACCCATTTTCCGCTTCTAGGTAGAATCGCGTTTTTAACTGCATTACATATACCCACTCTTAGGTAAAAGTAATGGAGTAGGCCAGTAAGGATTGGAGGCTTAGAGAAAGAGAGTACTGAAGCTTTATTAGGCAACAGTAACATGACTTAAGGTTTATATATATTAATTAATATTTTCATCAACTAGAATTAGGAAAATAGATTACACCGTTTGAAAAATCTTAGACAAAAATCAGAATACACATTTTGATTTGAACCGTATACCGTTAAGAATGATCGAGTCTGATACATGATTTGTGTTATAGGATGTTTTGATTTGTTGGTTTGGTTAGTCTAGATTGCGGTTTACCATACCAAACTGTGATCCAGCCTACTTCTCAATTTATTTAGCAAGTGACCCCTCTCCTAACCCCTCAACTAAACCCAAGTCTCAGCCCTCATTATGCAAATCACCCACTGTTTCATTAATAAACCACACTCCACCATAGAATAGAGACAATCATCTCTCCATTTGACATTAAATTAATGTTTATGATGGTATGGTGCAAGTTGGGTTGATCTAACTTTATGTTTTTGTTATTTACTTGGATTTAGGGTATCCAAATTATGCATGCATGTTGGAATTTATGTTTTTAAGGGAAAACAAATTTTTGTCTCAATTATTAGTTCTATTTTTCATGTGATTTACTAAACAAACGGTTTATTTTTCGCTCAATATGGTCTACATGGTCCAAACCATACCGAATATGAATTCTGAAGACACGTGTGTGATCTGGTCTTGACCGTGTAATATTTGGTATGATTCCTATTCCATACTCCAACCTCTAGATCTGAACCATAACCTTATGTACGGTCCAGTTTAAACCAGAACGCACTATTTCTCAACCTTACCATCAACCAATTCAATCTTGTTTTCCAGAGCTCATAAACCTGGACCAAAATAACAGGCTCCATATGACTTTATTGCATTCTCAGTGTACAACAATCCTACAAAGAAATGAATTCTGGTAGAAGATGAACAAGTTCCCACCACAGGAAGAACCCATAAATTCGAAGCAATGGAACGAACAGCAATAGCATAATTACAACAACATGCAATAGAAATATGTGCAACCTCAAAGGAAGGAAGGTATGTATTTTTTTCTTCTAATATATATAGACTTCTTAGAAGTAATGGTACGATGGGCAACAAAACTATCTCTCATGGTCCACGTACTGCTGCAGTGAAACAGAAGCAGCCACGCCGAAACTGGTCCTCTGGTATCATGCCCCCGCCTTTGGTCGTGTCTATGGCTTCCAGCATCTTCACCACCTCATCCATCTCTGGACGTCTGTCTGGCTGTCCATCCCAACATCTCTTCATGATCCCCGCCAATGAACTAGGGCAGCACCTTGGAATTTCTGGCCTCAAATTCTGTCCCCATTATCCGCATTCATTTATTAGTGTCAGTCAGCGAACATATTCCGTCTCTAAATTACATCACCAAAATCATCAAACAAACCTGTCGGACAACGGCAGAGGAAATCTCAGCGAAGCTGAGGTCAGGATAAGGCATGTCGCAGCAGTAGATTTCCCACAAGCATATGCCAAAGCTATATACATCGCACTTCCTATTGTACGGTTTGCCATCAAGCACCTGGAAACCAAAGCAGTTTTGTTATGTATAATAGGCAGAAACAAACCTCCAAATCTTGGGTATCAAGCCTAATCAACTGATACCATATGGGTAGTTTGGACCATTTAGTAAGATTCAGATCAGTTTCAAACCCACTATGGAAATATGGGTACTTTGCTTTGAAATAGTGCATTGACGATTGCTAAAGGAATGGATTCAGAAAAGTGTACCTCAGGGGCCATGTATCCCAGAGTGCCTGTTTCTCCAGTCATATCCCTTGGGTTCTGTGCTTCAACTCGAGCAACGCCAAAATCAGCAATCTTCAAAGTCCTCTGAGAATTCAGCAACATGTTCTCGGTCTTAACATCACGATGCACAATCTTTCTGGAGTGGAGGTAGTTCAAACTGCAAACCACATTATACACTTGAAGCGGTTAGTCAAAGCAGGAAGGACACTGTTGATTTATTCCAATACCCTACACTTACCCCCTAGAAAGGTCCAATGCAAGTTGAATCACAACCTTAAAGGCAAGTTTCTTTCTCCTATTTCTGATTAGAAATTTCTTTAGCGTCCCACCTGGCAGGTACTCCACCACAACACAGCATGCCCTCGAAGGAATCGAGTTGTTGCCGTCATTTGAAGAAGGGATCTTTAGGTTAGATGTCCCCATCGAAGCTCCTACAAACTGTAAAAACAGAAGATGCTGAAAAGAATATCTACATTCCCACAAGACAGTTAGAGCAAGGGTAATAACAACTTTACCTTTGTAACATTTGGATGGTCAAGTTTATGCCAAACAGCAACTTCTTGCCTGAAGGATGCCCGGAGAGCAGCAGTTTCAGCCGCGGTGGCAATACCATCCTCCCCCCAGTCTAGCACCTTCACTGTTAAGTCATGAGGATAACAGAGAGAAGTTACAACTGTACTGACCATAATTACAATTGTTTCAGTTATTACATGATGTGGTTAGTGCAGTTCATGTTGACTTGACAGCCAAAAGACAGTTGAGAAACGAGAACCCAGAAAGCAACTTCAACGTTTCAGTTGGAAGCTTATTTTGTAAAAGCAGCCAAGTTTTCCCGCGTGTGACAATAAAGAAATGGTGTACACCAACTATGTAATGTCAAAGTGTGGCAACCGTCATTCTTTATACTTGTCTCAAAGACTAGGATGGGCTGACAGCATCAATTAGATAAAGTGCAGCTTTCAGTAGGTGGGTGCGTAGTCAACCATAACATAAAAAAACATGTAATCGGAATTCAACAGAGGACAACAACATTTGATTCGCCACTTTGATAAACATTATTCACTACTTCAATCAGCTTCCAACAAGTACAAGTAGGTACCTCATAAACAAATTTCGTAGTTCAAACCTTTGAGAGTTGAACCCTTCACCAAAAGCTAAAAAACAGGACTTTTTTTACCAAGAAGGTCAACCAAGTCTGGGACAGGAGTTCCATGTGTAGCCTTGCTAGGCATCAATGGTAAAACGGGTAAAAGTTGAACCAAATTATCAGTGAACACAACACAGTATCGTGTAAAATCAATTCTTCAAAAAACCTAAAGGCTAAAGCATATGAAATTCCTTCCATTAATCCAGAAGCCATAGTTGAACTGAAGCAGCTGATAGGCAGCTGTTTATATGTATCATATAAACAGACTCTCATTCCTCATGTCGCATGTTACTTTGACAGAAGTACCAAACCCAGAACTAAACCCTCAAAACATCATGTCAATATCCTCACGGCCTCTCATCATCATAAAAAAAAAAAAAAAAGCTTCAACAAATGGAAATTTAACCAATCCCACTGGTAAATCAGTCAAGTAGACTTAGCAAGTTACCAATCAAAACAAGAACACCGAATTCCCAACAAGAAACATACTAGGAAAGTGAAGAGCAAATTACCAGCAACATCTTGGCCATCATAGTTGCCTCTGTACACTGTTCCATAAGTGCCATGAGCGATGACATGCCTTATATCAAGCTTCCCCAAATCAATCTCCCACTCTTCCAAACTCGTGGACTTGGACACCACTTCCCTGTCCCTGGACCAAGCCCGGCTAATGTGCTTCTCCAGCTGAACATCCCAGCTCTTGAAATCTATCTTATCAGCCCTAAAGAACATTTCCCTGTTGCTCTGGCTCCCCACGTCGCTACCCTTGGAACCCATCGCCGCCTGCTGCTTCAATGGGAGATTCGACCCGCCGCCTTTTGCTTCATCAATGGTCACAGAATTCTCCGCCATAGCAGCTGCTGCTGCTGCTTTCCCGTTCATTTGTTCCTGGGGAATTTTGCCTCTCCACGGAACTAGGCGCTTGACAGAAAAGAGAAGCTTGTGACCAGAAAGCCTTGGGGGACAGAGCAAAGGCTTTTAAACCCCAAACAAAAGGAAAGAAATGGGGATAAAGGAAATAGGTATATATTATAATTATTTTGAGGGAACGGGAAAAGGGAAGAAAAGGAAACGGGAAGTGAAGGGCAAAACAGAGGAAAATATAAGTTGGAAAGTTTCAAACTTTTTCTGAGAATTTTCCAGCCAACCAAACAGGGAAGGAAAGAGTAGTCTGAGTCTGAGAATGTTTTGGAGTTTGTTTCTACTTCAATACCCACCTTTCAAGGAAAGGAGAAAAAAACTTATAATACCCCAACTAAAGAGATTATTCTTCTGACTCACAAGGAAGCGTGGCCGACTAAACCACAGGGGGGGTTTTGTCCTTTTGGAGATGCCTACGAACCCACCACCCAAAACTGGAGATAGAACATAGAACAAGAAATCAGAGGAAGGAGAAGAAGAGACGGCGAGCGAACCACTCAACCCCCCAAAATGACAAAAGAAAGAAACAAAATTGACCAAGAGGAAGGAAAGAAAGGGAAATGGAAGAACAAGTACTTGAAAGGACAGTACAGAGGCGGGCGGGAGAGAAGGCGCGAGCGAGACGGGACTTGTGTTGATTTTGTGGCCTCAAATAGCTCTACCTCGTCCTCGTCCTCGTCCCACTGTTTGGAAATTCAATTCACAAATTAAAAAGAAATATACATAAAGCAAAATCATGTTTAAACAGTTTAATGTTTCCGAAAATTAAGAAAAGAAACCAGCCTCAACCTCTCTCCTCTCCCCTCTGTTTCTCGCGGAACTGAACCGCTTTATTTCCATCGCCGTTCAAGCGTGCGACTCTTCAATCGCCAAATCCGGCGACGCCCCACCGTCTCTCTGGCGGTTGGGGTCCAATCCGTTATGGATTTCGGCCATATATGGCCTTTGATCCTCCATGGATCCTCCCATCTGTCTGATTTTTCAGCATATTATCATAAGGAAATCCAGTCCTTTGACTCCCTACCTCTGTTGGTGACGATGTCGGATGTGGTGGCCATCTACAATGACACTACCATTGCTGCTTCTGAGGAGCGTGATGGACTCAGTCTCCTTGGACGCGTTTTTGGCCCGGCTCCCTCTACTGGCAGTCTACATCATTTTCTCGCCCATGTTTGGAGATGCCAGGGCTCGCTCACAATCCTTGAAGCCCCTTTTGGTCTCCACCAGTTCATCTTTTCAATTCCTTCAGATAGGAACAAGGTGAAGGCGGCAACCCCTTGGATTTTGGATCGCATAATGATCCATCTCCGAGACTGGTGCATCCCTACGGCGGAAGTGGCTGAATCTTTACTCAAAGTCCCGCTCTGGCTGCAATTTTGGGAGGCCCCGTCCCGGTGCCTTACTTCTCTGATGGCATGCTGCCTAGGTTCTGCTCTGGGTTCTCTCCTAGAGGCTGGCGTGCATATTGGCTCCAAGACAGGCGGCGTTTTTCTTCGCGCACGGGTTCGGTTGGACGTGTCTCTTCCACTACCCAAATCTGTGCAAGCTTCCCACGAGGATCCGTCCAAGGGTTCTTTCAAATCTAAGGTCTTGTACGACCGCCTTCCCATCTTCTGCTTTTGCTGCGGTATTATTAGGCATACAAGTAAGCGCTGTCTTCATGCTCCGGAATTCATCGGCAAAGCGCTGCCTTATGGGAAGTGGATCTTGGCGAGTGAGATGGGTCCAAAGGTGGATGATCGCTCCCTTCGCCGTCGGTTTGCAAGGACATCGTGGTCCCGGGCGGATGGTGTTCCTTCCCGTTGTGCACCTCTAAGCCTTCCGGCGCCGGAACAGCAATCTAGGGAGGAGGAGACTCGTTCCTCTCTCCAGCGCCTGTCTATTTCCCCAAGGCCTGATCCTGATCATTCACAGGCTGTCTCTCTTGGCAGGAAGCGCTCCAGTGGGGATGGAGACCCGGACCCGGCGGCAGCGGATCTTGGTCAGCCGCCGCAAAAGTCCTCTCGCTTGTCTTCCTCCTTTTTCCCAACAGCTGGCAATTTGGAGGACTCGGCTCATGTTTTAGCTACAGAGAGCAACATAATCTCTGGTTCTGAATCGGTGGTGGAAACCGGCCTTAACCGGTCCCAGGCGTCAATATGAGTTTTCTCGCATGGAATTGCCGTGGTTTTGGCAAATCCTTGGCAAGGAAATCGCTCTTAGCTGCTGTTCGTATTAGGCGTCCTATGGTGGTTTTTCTGTGTGAAACTAAATGCAAGGATAATAAAGTTAAGAATCGTCTGCGTCGATTAGGTTTTCCCGAGTGTTTTCTTGTTAGTCCTGTTAATACTAAGGGGGGAATGGTTGTTGCATGGTCTTCTAAAGTTGTTTGTTCCGTTGTCTCCCATTCTCAGGCGTACATGTTTGTTGAATGTGTGCATCCTGTTTATGGGACGTTAGTTTTGGTTTTTGTTCATTTGGATTGTAATGAAGGAGTGCGCCAACTTCAACTTAATGAAATTTCTATTGCTCTTTCGTCTTGTGTGTACCCCTTCTTTGTTATTGGGGATTTCAATTGTCTTTTGGCTACGTCTGAGAAAGTCGGTGGTCGTCCTCCCACACCTCAAGCTTTATCTCAACTTCATTCATTCCTTACATCTTCTCATTTACACGATGTTGGTTTTCATGGTCCTCCTTTTACGTGGACCAATCGCCGTTCCTCTGATCATATTATGGAGCGCCTAGATCGCTGCCTAGCTTCTTCGCAAGCTCTCTCTTTGTGGACAGGTATGATGGTTCATCACTTATCTGATCTTGGTTCTGACCATCGCATGCTCCTTTTACAGTTACATCCTACTGCAGCACGTACCAGGGCCAATTTTCACTTTGACAGTCGTTGGATTGATAATCAGGAAGCTTTCGATATCCTGGTGGAACAATGGGGACATCCGCCATCGGGCTCATTTCAATTTCAGCTTCATTCTGTACTAAAAACATCTAGACATCTTCTGTTCTCCTGGGCTTCAAAGGGCACGTCTAATTCTGCTCGTGCCATTCGTGAACTCCAGGATGCGATTGAGTCAGAACGTAATCTCCCTGGTGTGGATTGGTCCAAAGTTTCTCTTCTAGAACATCAGCTCGCTGCAGCATATGTCCAGGAGGAACGGTATTGGCAACAGAAGTCACGGGTCCTGTGGCTCACTGAGGGTGATTCCAATACTCGATTCTTTCATCTTACTACTCTTCAGAGGCGTCGTTCGAATCGTATTTTGGTTCTCCGGGATGAGGCAGGCACTCTTTTCCATGACGAGGATTCCAAAGGTATGATTGCGGTTCATTATTTTGTCCATCAGTTCACCTCTGAAGCTGTGCACGTTAACTACTTTGTGGACCAGTTGGTGCTCCCGGTTATGGTGACCTCCCAAATGAATTCCTCACTCATCCGTTTGGTAACAAGGGATGAAGTGCGTGATGCTGCGTTCAGTATTGGACGTCTCCAAGCACCGGGTTCCGATGGTTTTACTGGTTTGTTCTTTCAATCTTATTGGAATTTGGTGGGTACTTTGGTTGAAGCAGCTGTCTTGGAATTCTTTAGCTCTTGCCATCTTCTCCATAATTTGAATCATACCTGGATTTCTTTGCTTCCTAAGGTCCCAAATGCGGATAGCATGAGGCAAATGCGGCCGATTAGTTTGTGCCAAGTCCCATACAAAATCATTTCTAAGATTTTGACTGCTCGGCTCGGGGATGTGCTACCCCATGTGATTGGCCCTTACCAAAATGGGTTTGTTAAAGGTCGGCTCATCTCTGACAACATTCTGTTAGGTCAGGAGGTCATGCAATCTTTCAAAATAAAAGTTCAGGGACATGAGAAATGGATGGCACTTAAATTAGACATGGAAAAGGCATATGACAGGGTGGAATGGGACTTTCTCTTTGCCATTATGCGGAAACTAGGTTTTGCAGAAAGGTGGATGCAATGGATTTGGGCTTGTGTTTCGACTGTCTCTTTTTCTGTTCTCCTCAACGGCTCGCCTCATGGATACTTTCAGCCTCAGCGTGGCATCCGTCAGGGTGACCCGCTTTCCCCGTTACTCTTTGCCCTTTTTACTGAAGGATTATCTGCTTTAATTAATCAAGCTGTCGAGAGCAAATTTCTTCATGGTTTTAGGATTCATCGTCGCTGCCCAGTCTTGTCTCACCTCTTCTTTGCTGATGATGCTTACCTTTTCCTTCGCGCTTCCCTTCCAGAATGTCATAATTTGTTATCATTGCTTGATTCTTATCAGCAGGTGAGTGGTCAAAAAGTTAATTTGCAGAAATCAACCATCCCGTTCAGTGCCAATGTCACCCAAGTCGAGGCTCAAGGCATTATATCTGCTTTGGGAGTATCTCCAAGTGGTGATAATGATCTCTATCTTGGACTTCCCATCCGGATATCTCGTTCGAAGCAGGATTCCTTCCGGTATATTGAAGACAACCTGCTTCATAAAATTCAACGATGGAAGTCTCAATCCATGTCTTTGGCTGCCAAGGAAGTGGTTCTCAAATCAGTTGGCTTTTCCTCTCCTAATTATGCTATGTCCAGTTTTCGTATCCCATCTACCTTTTGTCGCAGGCTAAATGGGCATTTGGCTCGATTCTGGTGGGCTTCTCAGGACAAGGAGAACGGGTTGCGATGGGCTTCCTGGCGTGAACTCTGTCGCCCAAAGGCTGAGGGAGGGCTAGGTTTCCGGGACCTTGATAGTCACAATATTGCTCTTCTAGCTAAGCAGGCTTGGCGGATTGTCCAAAATCCGGATGGTCTCTTAGCCATCAACTATAAAGGCAGGTATTTCCCTCACTCTTCCTTTCTTCTTGCTCCTCAGGGTTCTAGGCCTTCCTGGGCTTGGCAAGGTATCCTTGTAGGTCGCTCTCTTCTGCAATCCGGGCTTTGTTGGCGAATTGGTTCGGGTGCGTCGGTTCGGATATTGGAAGACTCATGGCTGCCGACGACTCCTCCTTCTCGGCCTGTTCTCCTGCCCAACGTTTCGTTACCTGGGCCTCACGTATCTTCTTTGATCGATCATGGCTCCGGTAGTTGGAAGGTACCTCTCATCACCTCACTATTTGATGGGGACACGGTCCAAATTATCATATCTATTCCTCTTCCTATCTTTCCTGTGTCCGATCGTCTTGTGTGGCACTATGAGAAATCAGGTGAGTTCTCTGTTAAATCAGGATATAGAGTGGCCTCTGCTGATTATATTCATAACCCTTCCACTATTCCCCCGATTTTTGATTCTTCGGCTTGGAATTTGTTGTGGTCCTTGAATGTTCCTCCTAAATTACGGTTTTTTCTCTGGCGTGTTATTAAAGGATATCTTCCCTTGAGAGATATCCTTAGAGAGAAAGAACTAATCGATGATGAGGATTTGGAGGCGGTTAGATGTCCCGTTTGTGACGAAGCCCCAGAGACCCTATTGCATTCTTTTATGCATTGTAGGGTGGCTGTCGAATTTTGGAACCTTGTTGGTCTTAATCACTTGCGCTTACAGGTTTTCAATATGCATATTTCCGTGGGTTGGCGGTGGTTCTTTTTTCATGCAGGTATTTCCAAGGATGTGCTCAGCCGGCTTGTCTTTGTGTACTGGCGCATTTGGAAGGCTCGATGTTCTACCACTTATGATCACGTCCAATTCCTTCCTTCCACCATGGTGCGACATTTCCAAACTCAAGTAGATGAATGGTCCTCTACTCAAGCAGCCATGGCTTCATCCACGGATCGTCGTGCTCCTGTTCCTCCTGGGAGTCGCGGCCACACCCCACCACCAATTTCGCCGGGGACTGTCCTCGTCCATTTTGATGGCGCCACAAAAACCAGTATTGGGGGAGGAGTTGGTTTCGTTGGGTTTTCAGGACCAACGGCTATTCTTTTTGCATTTGGGAAATTTTATGAATATATGGATGACGCATTCATCATTGAGCTCTTGGCCCTCCGGGATGCCCTCCGGTGGTGTCTCTCTAATTCGGTCTCTAATGTCTCATTCTGTGGTGACGCGCAGGTGATTATTCAAATGATAAATCGTAAGGATTCAAGCCATGCTTTGGGTGGTAGCCTCCTCGCAGAGATCCAGGTTCTTCGTGTCTCCATGCAACGTGTATCGTTCCACTTCGCTCCGCGTAAGTACAATAGGGCTGCCCATCTCGTGGCGAAAAAAGCCCTCTCTTCGTTGGATCGTCGGTTGGTCGACCAGCGACTCTTCCTTAATTCCTCTTTGTAATTGACCTGTAAAGGTCCTTTTATTATGTCGTATCTGCTGTATTCCCTTCCGGGATATCTTTGGCAAAAAAAAAAAAAAAAAACAGTTTAATGTTTCCGGCAATCAGTTTTAGCTAAACCTTTTCTTTGGGCCTACGCCTGTGGGCTTTAATGGATATAAGCATGTGGGCTTAATGAACTTAAGCCTATTTAGAGTCTTCTCCTGCTTGTGATTCGATCTGCGAAATTAACAGCATAAGGGTAACGAAACGAAACGAAACGATAACAAGATGAGAGGGAAGAAAGAAAATTCACAGCAAATCCTTGGCATGAATATAAGTTGATTGATTAATTACCGCTCTCCTGTGTGGTTAGCGGTTACCCATTGATAGCCAAATTGCCCGTTGAAAATTGTCAGCTCAGGGGGAAAAAAGGTCATGGCCAATTTCCCAAACACAGCTGCTCAACGGTGGACAATTCAAACTACCAAGTTGGAACCCTACGTGCCATTGAGTAATGTTATGAATGGACAAACATAGAGTTGGGGGGAAGAGAGTTTTTCCCTCCAGCAAATGCAAAGATTTCGACTTGTTCAACTACAGCGAATTTGCAGGAATTACACCACAGAGAGAGAGTTTGCTGCCATTCACATCGACTTCCATGAGATTTGTCAAGTTCCAAGTCTCTATGGGAATCTTTCCTTCCACCAAAGTTATGGTCTCCATCTCCAGCAACCGTGTTGCCTACACGATGACCCCCGGTGGGACTTCCTCGTCGTCGAACAAAACCTCATCCAAGTCCACATCTCATGATTTCCAAATGAGTTGGGAGCAAATACTCGAGCCGATGAAGTGGTTGAATGGAATGTCAAGGAATCCAAATCGTGTCAAGTGTTTTGGATTCCAGGAGGGGTATTACCTCTTATGTAGTTTATAAGCAAGGTTAAGATGCTCCAACTCGCCACTCAGTGCATCTTACGTGCATATTCTAAAGAACTCCCTAATCATTTTACGACTGAAGTTCTACAATTTGCTCATTTTCAAGACTCCCTTCATTACTGCCCAGATTGTAACAACAACAAGAAGCCAGTAACTCTACAAGCGTCCCAAAAGGGAAGTTCTTATTTATTTATTATGTTTGTTCGTGCAGTGCATGGTCAGCCTCAGCCTAACCAGCAGCAGGGAGCAGTCGGAAGTAAGAAGCTGAGAGACGGATTATGTAGCATTTACTGCAGAAACACAACTACTTACAAACAGCATACAGCCGTGGCATCCCCCTCTTACGCCAGGGGAGTTATGCTTTGTGGAGACTAGGGATGGCAATTTACCCACCCATGGGTAATTTTGCCCAAACCCAAGTAGACCCATTTATTATGGGTAGGGTTTGGGTGATGTGTGTATGGGTTTGGGTTAGATATGGATATTATCTAAATGGGTATGGGTTGGATATGGATATCCATTTACTTGAGAGTGTTTTAACTACACATGCAAAAATTGGACCTATTTGTAAAACTTGAAAAGTTTAGGTACCAAAATGTAAGACCAAAAAAATTTAGGTACCAAAACGTAATTTTCCATTGATATTTTGAGGACTTATATGCAAAAAAAATTAAATTTAGGTACTAAATATGCATATCTATTAAGTTTAGGTACCAAACTGTAATTTGTATTTGGGCATGGGTACAAACCCAAATCCAACCCAAAGTAAATGGGTATGGGTACAAACCCATCAAACTTTACCCATATCCATATATTTGGATTTCATACCCAACCCAATTGGGTTGGATAGTAAAATACCCATGGGTATGGGCAAAATTGCCATCCCTAGTGGAGACCAGGAAAAGTCCGGAGGTCGTACCTGCTGAAGATTAACTTTGTCAATGACAGAACCAGTCACTTGGATGGCGCACTTTACCCCGTTTTCTCCCAACCGAACATACTTCAGGGCAGACGTTTATTGATCCTGGCCATACAAAAAAAGTATAATCGTTATGGTTCCATCATAACATGCTATTTATAAACGAAGATTCTCCTAATAAGGTAAAACTTGGAAGGGTTGTTGAACAGTTCATCGAACACAATGCAGGGAGACATCAGACATCACACTGGAAGAATCCAATTGTCAGGTGAGCTAGAGTGGGGGACCAATATATAGCAGATTCACAATCCATAAGTTGTTTCTACAGGCTATAAATACAGCTTACGTTTGATTTTTCTGTGACAAATTCTACTACCACACAAATCCTCCTAAAACAGTGTATCCAATCTTTCTAATTGATCATATACCTTGCATTTAGTCGAAAACGAGCAAATGATCATCTGATTGGTGAAGGGAATATCCTTGATATGAAGTTGAGAAATCGAATTGTAAAACTAGAGCCAATCCTAATTCAAGTCTTATAGTGACTTCCAAAAAAAAAAAAACAATAACTAACCTTGACAATGAAGAGGCAGCTACCATCTGAAACCTGTTGGCCAGCTCCAACTTGAAGTCCATGAATATATCCAGAAGATGGTGACTTCACTACATGCTGTGCAATGTATAAGTTTCAAACTAATGAGCATATCACCAAGGGCAAGAACAAAATAGTGGATAAAACAAAAAGGCCAGACAGTAAACCAACAGACCTCCATTTTCATTGCCTCCAAGACTAACACGGGTTGGCCTTGATCAACCTTCATTCCATTGTTCAACAGAACCTTAACAACCAAACCAGCCATTGGAGCAACAATACTTCCTGGAGGGTGAGATGCATTCTCCAGATTGGTCTTCTGTTGAGTTTCATCCTCTTCAGAAAACTCAAGCCCAAGCTTCTGTCTAAACTGGTAATGCTCTGATCCATGCCATACATGAATGTGCTCTACCCCACCCTGCCACCAGCATGCAACACCGAGAACCAGAAATGAGATAAAGGTGATTTCCTTTCTTATTAAACGACTGTGAAACATCCAACATTATGTTTATTTCCCCTAGTTGGTTAAAAAGCTGCAATTTCAAATGGACAAGCAAAAAAAAAAAACAAGATTAAAAACCTAGATAATGTATTCGGGATAAAGGCGCGAGCTCTGCAAAGAGGGAATGCCATGAACTCTCGCATGTGTCAGTAAACAGGAGCTGTCCTCTCACCAAACAATCTATCAAAAAATTCCATGGCTCCAACTTGTAGTGACTTGTCTATTTAGTCCGGGCACTTCATAAATGCTTTACTTGATAAAAATAATAGCTCTCGACAGCAGTTATCTCTTTTGGTAGAATTGCCAAATTAGAATGAATCTACATCCTCTGGCAAAGATTTTAGCATTAAAGGGAAATTACCTCGACGTAAGTAGCCAAATTAACTTGCATGCTCACACCATCAACTTCAACTGTGAAATTGTGCTTGTCTAGATGTATCGGTTTAACCTCCACACCAGCAGAACCAACTTCTCCCACCTGTATGATACACAAAATGTTGATAAAAGCGCCCCTGCAAAATAAATTTGTGTACTATTAAGTAGAGAAATACCTCAGCCAGATAGGAGCCATCTTGCTGGTAAGTGATTGAAATTGTGAAGAGATTCGAGCTGTTTGTGCCACTTTCATTATCCCATTCAAATACCATGGTCCGTGTAGCATTATGATGAACTCTGAAAGGGGGTTGTGAATACCATATTGAGAGTGAACTTGTAGCCCCTGGATATATTTAACACTTTGGATTTATATACCTTCAACCAAACTGGTGAAATGTTCAACAACGGAAAACAGATAGTCTTTGACTTACCTGGGAAATTTGCACTAGCATAATTATCTTTTTCACAAAGACATGCAGCTACAATGGATGCAACAGATTTGGCCTTATCATGGGCTTCTTTCACTAACACTGAATTGTTAGGATCAACAAAGAGATCGTCTTTATGGTGCTCAATAAAATGAGTTTCCACGTTCCCATCTTTGAATTCCTCATGGTTAGCAAGCTTTTGGAGAAAATTTATATTAGTCGGTACACCGGCAACCTGTCAACATCGAAAAATCCAGGGTTCCATTAGAGCTTAGTAGCCGTAGCTGTCCAAGAGATAATTGCAACTTATAACAAGCAATAGAAGTCTGTTAATTTGCAGATGACATGCCTGAAATCTGGATAAACAATCCTTCAGTTTCACTAATGCTGCACCACGGTCTTCCCCCCAAACTACAAGCTTTGCAATCATAGGATCATAATGCATGCTAACAGTGTCACCTTGTGCAACTCCAGTCTCAATCCGCACTGCTAGTCAGGATGATTAAATGTAAGAAAAAACTCAAATAACCTTCAGGAGATTATGCACTCACTAGAAGCTGGTGGTGCATTTATGTCAAAAGAGAAATTTATTTATCAGAAATACAACAATCATGGATTTAGTTGCCAAAGAGAGTCAGAGTGGGCTCTAAATGTTTGCTACACTAATTCAGGAATATACTATTGATTCGTAGTAGTTCAGATGCTGAGTAGGAATTCGCTCATTTTTATAACTATTTAAGTTGTATTGACAGGAAATTGTGGGGAGTATCGACCCATAAGTTATTTTGTGCCAGAAATAACCAACCTAAACTAAATCAGCTATAGACTGCCCAAACCCCGCTCTCGGAACGACTTGCACCGCAAGGAAGCACATAAAGTCAGACATTTCCCCCAAATCTGTCCTACATTGTTAAGCCTCAAACCCTTTCTCACCATAAATTAACAAAATAGGAGCCATTCATCACCACCCATACAGCTACTAGTAGACAACTCTGATTAACAATTTGCATTGCTTCCTCACCTGTTGATGAAGCTGGAACAGGATTATAGTAGTGAAGAACTCCAGTTGCAGGAAGGAACCCCCTGGGGACATTTTCTGCATATATTCTAGCCTCAAAGGCATGACCTGTTCAATAAAAAAAATTAAAAGCAGAGGGAATGATTACTAAGAAAGAAAAATGATAATTGTACAAAGAAATCAAACAACCTACGAACTCAACGGTCATTGGATAAGGGGAAACCTGCATTAAACTAAGCCTTTTAGACAATCAAGAGAGGGTAAATAACCCTTTCTCTACCTGAGCCTCATGTTTTACAAACCTTTTAATTTTAAATAGAAGAAAAGAAAAAGTTCCTTCTTTTCAGACATGCACATACAATGCATTGCCCAATCTCGATTAATTTACGTATCAGCCAGGGGCACCCTTTTAAGTCCCCTTTTGAACCCAAAATAAATGGAAAGAAGGGAAGATGGCAGAAGCTGGGCTTGACAAACATGCATACAATCCATTGTTCGTGCAACTTAATGAGACCTCCAGCTGTACAATACAAAATTAGATATAAATACCAGATAATGGTACTTCTGACTGGCTAATTGGCAAGGGTTCTCCATTAGCAACACGGATTTGCCATTCCACAAGATCTTGACCAACAATCATCTCAGTCACAGGATGCTCAACCTACAACAGAATAACTAAAGAAATGTGTTATCATGAAAGAGCTTAAGATATTGGGAGATTAGATTGTTCTGTTACCTGCAGACGGGTGTTCATCTCCATAAAATAGAACCTCCCAGAGAGAGTATCCACAATGAACTCCACAGTTCCAGCACTGTGGTAACCCACAGCCTTTTAACATGTAAGAAGACTTCATTAGTGAACTTGTAGATGAGAGCTAAGGGTGTTTAGATGAAGCTTGAAATGCACCCCAAAAAAAGGCGACACAGTTTTCAAGATAAATTAGACTGAAGCAACAAAATTTTCCACATTGCCGAATAAGCGGACAAATTTCTATTCATAAAAAAAAAACTGACAAATTTCTGCAGAAGAGTATCATGATCTAGAAAAAGATAATCAAAGATTTTACATTCTTCAATGCAAGACAATAAGATCAATGACCACAGTAAGGAAGTCAAGAGGACTTCAGTAACGTAACAAATTGTTGATATACATCCTTACTTCAAATAAGAAAGAATATTGTTATGATATCAATGAAAGAATGAAGCTTAACATCACATGTCAAGAGAGGCTGAGTGATCACTCAGTAACAATCTGACAGTGAATTCATATTGAATATGTCACCATTCAGTAGAAGAAAATGAACTCAGATTACCTTAGCTGCAGATACAGCAGCCTGACCCAAATGGGAGCGGAAGTCATGAGTTATATTTGGCTGCATCAACCAAATTCTGATTACAACCATAACCCCTTTTCACCACTAATTAAACTGAAATCACAGAACCAGGCATTACAGCAGGGGCTTCTTCAATAATCTTCTGATGCCTCCTTTGCACACTGCAATCCCTTTCGTATAAATGCAGTACATTGCCTAGTTTATCTCCGAATACCTAGGAGTTCAAGACAAAGCAAGAAGACCAATGAGAAATCAGCCATACCTAGTACAAAAGAATCCAGAGAATTAAAGCTGAGCACAGTTCCAAGCATTGTTAGCAAGAAATTCCTAGCCAACTTGCACAGGAAAAACGATATACCTGGACCTCTATGTGTCTCGGCTGGGTTATATACTTCTCTAGCAATATTGTATTTATACCAAAAGAAGCAGCGGCCTCACGCTGTGCGCCAAGGAATGAGTCCGCAAATTCTTTTGGAGTCGCCACTATCCTCATTCCCTAAAAACCTGCAGAGTAAGAACCTCATCCAAAAGAATATTGAACTTAACAAAACAAGCTCCATATAAAACCTATATCGATTATCTATGGATCTCCAGATAAATATGTCAAAGAGAGAAGCCACAGTGAATAAATACTCGGCTATTCTTTGTTTTTGGCATTCTTCCAAGTTTGAGCGATTAAGCCTATCGAACTTTCCTATGGAAGTAACTGATACTCATGATATACAACAGAACATGCTACTAGCAAAAAACAGGGCAAAAGAATTGTGAGAAAATGGCAAACCTTTCCTCCACCGCCATGCGTTGGCTTGATTAAGACAGGATATCCAATTTTATCTGCTTCCAACTTCATAAATTCAATATCCTGATTGCTACCATGATATCCGGGTACAAGTGGCACCCCTGCAGCACCCATTATCCTCTTTGATGCACTGATAAAACACATAGAATGTCAATAAAGAAGTCAAATTTATCACTCATGGACACAAAACTAATAGCAAGTATATGAATTTAGAGACCCAAGCAACCTTTGTACATCATTTGTTACTTGAGGAAAAGGTTCAACCAGTTAGCAAAGTTAATAAGGCACCTTTTGTCACCCATATCCTGGATAGCTGAGGCTGGAGGGCCAACAAAAGTAAGACCCTTATCTTCGCAAAGTTTAGCGAACCCTGAGCTTTCTGATAAGAATCCATAACCTGGATGGATAGCCTAATAATCCACCAGATACATTTAAATTATAATTCAAGTAGAGCAGGTGGAAAAAAATAAAAACAGAAGATTCACAAAATTCAGGATCTCCACAGGAGCAAGAGAGAATTAGGAACAAAATAGTCAAGATATTGCAACGAGCAGTTAACCATTTCTCCATTAACATCAAGAGTCGATAAACTAGCCATCGCAGCACAAGTGCAGAACTTGCCAAAAAGTCAACTATCTCAAAAATGCGAAATTCAAGCTGGTAAGGGCCCGGGAAGCCCAAAAACACCACCAGTGTATATATGATACTCGACTATAAGGGTAGGGAAATGTATCGCACAATAGAGGCAAACAAAAGAAACTAGAGCAGTAGTTGATCCAGTTCCAAAGGCTGTTTTCGAACCCTCACCTGCGCACCAGTACGAATTGCAGCATCCACAATCGACGAACCGTTCAAATAACTCAACCGAGCGGGAGGTGGACCTAAACGAACGGCCTCGTCAGCGGATTTCACATGGAGCGAATCCTTATCAGCGTCGCTGTAGACGGCGACGGTTCGTATCCCTAGGCGCTTAGCAGTCTTCATGATCCTACAAGCAATCTCTCCTCTGTTGGCTACCAGAATCTTCTCTATCCGTTGCTGCGGACGCGATTCCGCGGAGAAGAAACGCAGCTGGAGAAGAAACGGCTGCACACGGAGCTTACGCCGGAGAACCGACGCCATGGACGCCATTATTTTCTTCTAGTCAAGGAGTAAGTGAGGACTGGGAACGGGAAAGCACTGAGACTAGTCTGATCGTGCTCTGCGGGCTTACGATAGTTTTAACAAAAGCGGGTAGAAGAGTGAGGATTTGGAAATGAGAAATGACCAATAGGTTTCTGACGGGGGAACATGATGAGAGTGGTTATCCTAAAAGCAAGTTTTTTTTCGCTTCTCGATGCGTTTCGACTTTCGTCTATACCTCATGGGTTAAGAGAAATTATTGGGTACTCCGGGAGTACCACGTCATCACGCTGATTTGGTACTCCCACCCAATAAAAATCTGGCACCTGTTTTCTTAATTAATTTATTTTCTGTTATTATCTCAATTAATATAATAATCAATGCCCCTCTTTCCTACCTCGTTTTCTCCGCCCGTAAAGCAGTCACTCCTATGTTGGAGTCTATCTTCCTCCTTCCTTCTTCCAAATCAAAGACTCTAAACCCCTGATGTAGCCACCGCCGGTAACAATCCCCAATCCAGAATTCCAAATCCAGCTCCACGGCTTCGTCGATGAGCCAGACGCGAAAAAGTCGCCGTTGGGAAATTTTTTTCAGTCCCGAGCACGATGACAATTGCTCGAATCAATCGTCACCGTCTAAATTCCCAATCCAGCCCCACCGTCGACGAAGCTTCTGGTGATCTTTCCTTCGTCCCAAATGGAATGGTTTCTCCAGGGCGCCTCTGCCTATGCTCTCTTGTTTGTTTCTTTTACGTTTCGTTTTTTTTTGTTTTTTCCTTTTGCTGGGCGGCTTGTGGGTAGGTTTTATAGTTGGGTGTTTGGGATTGGATTAGAAAGAAGCTTGAGCTTGCAGTTGCAAGAATACAAGATGATGATTGCTAATAGGGGGAGGGGATGAGTTCTAGGGGATTTGGGAAGACGAAGCAAAGTAGCAGATAGTGCAGTTTGATTGTTTATTGAAATTAGGGATCTCAATAAAAGATTTTCCAGCAATAAATTTAATAATGAAACTGATAACAGGTGCCGGGTTTTTATTGGGTGGGAGTACCAAATCAGCATGTTGACGTGGTACTCCCGGAGTACCCAATAATTTCTCATGGGTTAATATCTTATTTTGATTGAACTATATTTATATAATCAATTTTGACCAATGGTTCTAAAATTTCTTATCTTAACCTCAACTATACACCATATATATTGATTTGGCCCGACTCATGAATTTCGGTCAAATTAGACGGTCAATATCATTGACCGTTAATCAATCAGTATGCTAACGTGAATGTCATGTGAAAAATTAAATTAATAAAAATTTAATAAAATAATATTGGATGGATCCTAATAAAATAATGATCCTTTCTTAATCAAAGAAAGAATTATTTCACTTGGAAAACCAAACAAGTTGTCGATGCCCTCGCCGGTCTCTTGTTTCCGCTTCGAGCTTTGAAGCCGGGACTCGTCCAATAGTGCCCTCACGGAGACAGCAGGGTTTTCTTGACTTCTGCGCGATGCGCGTTTTGTCCTGGACATAATATTCCTATATCGGCAGCGTGATCGTGATAAACTAGCGTACCGAAAGCAACCCTCTTCCTGCAATTACCAAGCTCAGGGGACTTCCTCTCTACTCTAGCTCTGCTTCCACCAGGTTTGAATCGAGACTCTAATTTAGGGTTCTTGAATTTTGGGATATTTCCCAATTCCGAATCTGAGGTGACATGGGAGTGTGACGAGTGATTGATTGGCCGAATTGAAGTGTATGTGGGTGTGTGATTCTCCATAGCTTTGTCTCCCTTGTGTCATGCCCGCTCTTGTTCAGTATCACTGCCCTTTCGTCGGTCTACATGGGTGTCAGGATGGTCAAGGCAGGGATCTTACCAAATCCTCTATGCTCCAGCACTTTAGAGATCGACATTATCGCGGTGAAGCTATGGCTCTTACACGCCAGACTCTTTCTGATAGTTTGCCAGTGCTTTCTAATGCTGAAACTACTCTAAAGCGGATGGGGGTTTGGCTTTGTGGGGTTAGCCTTCATACTCACTCTTTCCGTTCTAAATGCCGACATGATGGGGATGTTGTTATGGAGCCTCCTGATTGCGGTGACGGCCTTGTTCATTTTATTATTTATGATATTCCCATACCTCCAGCTCCATCTTTGTCGGTTATCTCATCTGACGCTAGGATGGAGCATGTGGGTTGGTCTATCTCTTTGCTTGATTGTTTGTTCTCTATGGGTTTTCGCACTGTGAAATCTATCCCTCCTAAGTGTCGTCTTGGGTTCGCACGGGCTCTGAAAGGTCTTTGGATGATGTGGGTGTTTCTCCTTGTGACCTCTCCTGCTGGATCCGCTTACTTGTGTTACCTCTTTGTGTGTTTAAGACCTTTTCTCCGCGGATTAATCTTGAGTGTCGATCCGCGATTAGGAGTCTTCGTCAAGAGGAGAGTGTTACTAGTGCTATTCTTGCTTGGGGGGCTGGTGGCGATTTGCAGCTTTTGCGAGAGACCTTAGATTAGGTTCCCCTTCATTTGATGTGGAGGAGGATCTCGATTTGAGTGAGCTCAACCTTCGATAATGTCAGAGGAAGATTTGTGATGGGCATTATGCTGCTGCTGTTCGGGTACTTTCTTTTTCCGGCATTGCCCTTTATTCTGATGCCACTTGTGTAGCTCTGCAAGATAAGCATCCCTTCGCCTCATCTCCCTCTTTTTCGACTTTACATTTGGATCATCATCCTCTTATTGCCTCTTTAGCTACTATTTTGGATATTATTAGGAGCTTCCCTCGTGGTACGTCTTGCGGAGGTATGGTTTTCTGGCTCAACATCTTATGGATTGTCTGGGTGGAGCTATTGTTGCTATCTCGGATGATTTGGTCGTCTTTATTACTCGGGTGGTTAATATTTTCCCTGAGGGTCGATGCCCGCATATCCTTAGTGAGTACATTGCTAGCGCTCCGCTGATGCCGCTTGTTAAACTAGGGGGTGGTATCCGTCCTATAGCTGTTGGCACTATTTGGAGACGTCTTGTCTCTAAAGTTGGTCCTTGTCTTGTTGGCCCTTCTTTATCTGGTTATTTTGATGGGCTTTTGTTTGGGGTTGGCGTTTCTAGTGGAGGAGAGGCTATTTTGCATGTCTTGAACCGGTTAGTTGAGACCTGTGGTGGTGACGTTGGTCTTTCTATGTTGTTGGTCGATTTTCAGAATGCTTTCAATTTAGTTGATCGTGGGGCCATGCTTCAGGAAATTTGCCGTCGTTGCCCGGTTCTTTCCCGATGGGTAGAGTTCTGTTACTCTACCCCTGCCCGACTGTATTATTGGGAGCATAACTTATGGTCTTACCAGGGGGTTCAGTAGGGGGACCCTTTGGGCCCTTTGCTTTTTGCTTTGGTGTTACATCCTCTAGTGTGCAAGATCAGAGACTCTTTTGACCTGAGTTTGCATGCCTGGTATTTGGATGATGGGACTATTGTGGGACACTTTGGTTGTAGGGAAAGCCTTAGACATGATTATGGTTGAGGGCCCTCGATCTGGGCTTACCTAAATATGGATAAGACGGAGATTTTATGGCCTACTAAAGATCCTAAGAGTCGAGTTTTTGGTGTTTTTCCTGCCTCTACTGCTCGACCTTCTCATGGTGTCACCGTTCTGGGTGGGCCTGTCAGTAGCTGATTGACTTGGTTGCGAGGATTGATGACCCAAAATGTGAGTTGCTTTTGCTTCGGCCTTGCATTGGTATTTCAAAACTCAACTTTGCTTTGCGTACTTGCCCCCCTCGTGTTTTTGGGCCGGCTCAGCTCTCTTTTGACACATCCCTTCATTCCCGTTTAGAACGTATTGTTACTGCTTCTGGGCCTGGGTTCGGTGATTGGCAGTGGTGACTTGCCACCTTCCCTTTTCATTTAGGTGGGCTTGGGGTTTATGCTGCTGGAGATGTCGTGCATTATGCTTTTTTGGCATCTCGTCTACAGTCTGCTGGGTTGCAGGCTAAGCTCATACGTCCTTCTGGTATTCTCTCTCCTGGCCCTGCTTTTGATGATTCCCTACGCACACTCAATGAGTTTTCAGGTTCTGATATCTTACGTGACCCTAGCGAAGTTGCTGCCCCAAAACTTATGAAGAAATTGGCAGACATATATTTTGCGAATGTTGCTGCTACTTCATATTATGTTTTCTCGTTGACTACGCGTCAGGTTGCTTTGTGGGAGTCCCAATAGAGTGCACACTTTTGGATTTGTTGTGTGTTGTTCCTATTGCTAGGTTGGGCCAGACTATGAATGGAAGGACATATCGTAGTGTGCTTAGTTATCGACTGGGTGTCCTGTTATTTTTTGTATCTAGGCCCTAATCTGCTTGTTCTCGTGTCTTTGATGGTGATATCTTTGGGGATCATGTTGTGTCGTGTGCTGGTATTGTGGGCATTAAACATCGGCATAACCTCATTCGAGACACCTTACTGGATATCTGTTACATGTCTGGGATTTCTGTCGGAAAGGAGTTTGATATCGGTTTGGTTTATGGGCATGGCAGACCCCTTCGTCCTGTGAATTTGCTGTTTTATTCCTGGGATAGGGGACGAGATGTGTGTATTGATCTTACTAGGTTTTCACCTTTGACTCCGACTGGGATGACCAATTTTGTGTTGGCCGAGTTCTTGCTGATGCTGCTCGGCGTAAGTGTGCTAAGTATCGAGATTTGTGCATGTCAACTGGTTACGAGTTCCTGCCCTTTTCTTTCTCTTCGCTGGGGGAGTTGGATACGGATGTTGTGGCTTTGCTTAAGAGCATCCAGAAATTCTCCATGTCTCAGGATGCGGGGGCTCAGGCGACCGCGTACATTTTCACTAGACTTAGCTTTGTTGTCTTTAAGGGAGTGGGAGCCCAGATTGTATCTAGGGTGCCCAGTAATTTCCTGTGGACCTTTTCAATTTGTTATATAAGTTCAATATTTTTTTATAAAATAAAATGAAAAAGATATTTTGAAAATTTTTATAAAAAATTGCCTCCTCTCTCCTCACTCGCCCCACCCACCTTCTAAACCCAATATAATCTTACCCTCTTTCATTCCATCCCACCATCGCCGCTCAAGTGACCGTGCTGGGTTTTCTGTCCTCGCCTCCTCTCCACGCCCATTTGAAATCCAACTAATTCCGCCAGGGATTTAGGAGGTGAGGAGGAGGATGGTGGAGGAAGAAGAAGTTCGTCGCCGAG